TAGCTGCACATCAGCCCCACTTTGTACCACTCTGATCCACAGAACTGACCCCTTGTCGCCCCCCCCACCGCCCCCCCCTACTGGAACCTTCCCCATTAACACACCCTCAGCCTCTAATGGAGTTCACAGCACACCATTTTCTCCCTGCACATGCAGGAGATGAGTGCAGCTAATAGCAGCTGCACAGTTGGACTACATGGGTGTGAACCTGACTTAACGCACGCCACTGGAGGCCTGTTGGCAGACCGGGCCGTGTTATCTGCCACGGCTGGTGTGGGCAGACTGAGCCCATCTGTACAGGGCCATCCTCCATAAATGGACCTGAGCTGAGTCTGCTGGCATGTTATTCACTCCTGGTGGTGATGATGCACCGACGCTTCTCTATTCCTGTACCGGCAAAAAAAAAAAAATATGTGAAGATGTTTGAGTGGCAGTAGTTACAATGTGAATATATATTTTCTCTATCCCTTTGTGTTGACTATATAAAATGTAATTTTTTTTTTTCATGTATGACCTAAATTTGACTTTTCTGGTTCCCTCCAAAGGCGCAGAGGCAACGTTTGCCCAACAACCCCAGGACCTGGTGGTGGTGGCCGGCCAACCCGTGACACTGCCCTGCACTATCCCTGCTTACCACGGCGTTGTCCTCTGGATCAAAGATGGCCTGGCGTTAGGAGTTGGCAGAGACCTCTCTGGTAAGAGGCAGCATTTATCCACACGCTCAGTCCTTTGATTAATTACAATCTGTCGTGTCTTTGAAGTGCCATATGTCAGGTGTCACCTGAGAAACCAAGGCACGCTGACGTACGTATGGTCACATATGACAGAATAAAATACACTGACTGTCTCTAAATATTCAGATTTTCTAGCAAATATTTTATTCAGTCTAGAAATTAAACAGTGATTTAAATGTTTTGTTGTTGTTTGTCAGTCAGTGGTCACAGACTTTCAGAGTTTTATAGAGAGTGTTGTTTGTCAGTCAGTGGTCACAGACTGTCCTCTTTTTAGAGTTTTTATAGAGAGATTTTATATTGAAATACTTTGTCAGATCTTGAGATTACGTAGATCCGGGTAGGTCAGACTTCTGGCCCGGGGCCCGGTACTGACCCACATCTGACCCATGGATTAGATTTGAATTAATGCTTTTAATTTTGAGCTTGTTCACTAAAAAAAAAAAAAAAAAAGTATTTTTAAATTTTTCATATATCCATTTTAATGATTAAATTCCAGTGTTTAAGTTAAAAACAAATACACTTTTTTTTCTCAGAAATATCAGTTCCTGTCATTAAACATTTTAGATGCTAAAAAGCCCCCCCCCCCGCCCCCCCGTGGCTCCAGCCTCTCCACGTGTTGTTTTCAGGAGTTGCCGTCTTCCTCTAATTATATTGCCTCTCGTTCTTAATTGCTTTAATTGTTTAATTTGGAGTTAAAGTGAATGGTGCAGCCTGTTGTTCCACCAATCAATTATGGATGTTCCTGACCTTGAGGACAACAAGCCCCTCCCCTAAATAAACATTTACAGCCTTCTGAAGCACTGAGCGAGTCCATAGAGGAAGACGAGCCCACATCGTTTATTGAAATGACCGTAAACGTATGCGGAAACAGACTCGGTTTTACAACAGAGACGGAGACGAGAGACTCTGTACCTTTGACTTCTACATTTGTCCTCTCTGAGAACGATGACGAAGTCGCCGTAATTGGACAGACAAAGGAGCGGCGTTCCAATATCCAGCCGCGGCCGTACTTTAAATCTCCAAAAATCTCCCCCGAGCAGAGATGATTTAACATGTATTCCCCGAGAGATTGAGGGTCTTTACACACCGACCTTTACCAAACACTCTTAGCGGACCCTCTCCCTGTCACTGACGTGGTCTGTAATTAAACCTAGTGGCTGACAGAGCCCCGGCCGAGCCATCCAATTCCCTGACTAAGACCTTATCAGGTCCAGGCGAGGCTAAGAGGTTGCAGTAAACAATGCTCTTGCAGTCTTGGAGTCTCCTTCCACGGCAGGAGCGAGGCACTTACAGTGGGGAGGGAGGGAGGGAGGGAGGGGGAGGAGAGGGGAGGAGAGGGGGAGAGAACCTGCAGACATGGACTGTGGTGTTTTTTTTTTATTGGTTTCAGGAAAGAAAGGATAATTTTTATACATATTTTTATGACGACGACACACGGGAGAGCTCTGTTACAGACCTATGGAGTGCAGTAGTCCTGCCATCACCTGTCTCACCCAGCACCCCCCCCTCCGTCCCCTCACTGACTCCCCCGACCCCCTCTTCAACTCCCTCATCCTTTCTCTCTCTCTCATTTATTTTTATGAGACGCAGAAGCCGTCTGTGAGAAGCAGATAGGTCGCTGAAATCAGGCGCACGATCCAAACAGGGGCTGAGTGCCTTCTATTGAGACGGATGACACTTCTCTTTTTTTTTTCTATATAAAAAGAACCCACAGCTGTCCTCTTTTTATCACTCATCCCTATAAACAAGCAACGCACGCCGCAGTAAAAGACTGACGGTACATCCACGCCGAGATGTACACCACCACAGGAAAGTGGCAGCTGTATACATAAAAAGTGCAACGGAACAAACGTTACACGCCGCATCTCAATGTTATAAGTCTGCTCAGCTATTCAGCCGCAGAAAGGCGCTTGCATCAGCAGTGGCATGCTTCGCCCGGGACCTGTTTCCATTCAGGAGAGACGGTGATTAGACCCAGAGAACACTTCCACCATTCAGGCTGTGGAATCACAGCACAAAAGCCCGTGATTCCTATCTGTGCCTATTGACGTTCCTTTGTGTCACGCCTTCTTCGCTCTAATTAAGGGGAAGTGAAGTAACCCTATAGCGGCTCTGGCCGTATCAGTCAATTTCATGAATTTATGCAGGAAGCAGAACTTGAACCGCCGCGCAGGAGAACGCTAACAACGAGAGAGAGCTCTGTGTTCGTGTTTGTTTACCTACCACCCTGAACCTTCGCCATATGGAGACGAGCTGTGGAGAGAACAAGGCGACACTTCGGTGCGTTAGCCTCGTCCCTGGTGAGAGCTAATTGAACGCCGGTCACCTGTTTACAAATGTAGCCAACCTGGTTAATTTCCTCTGTGGTTGCACGGCATGAAACATGACATGGTAGGACGCTATAAATCACTAGACCACGCCTTAAGTGTCTGTGTACCTATGTGCGCTCACACACACACACACAGAGCATTGATCCAGCCTCCAGTCAAATCCATTTCCCCTGATGGATCCATTACTCCTTAATGAGCCTATTTTACATTGTTTGCTTTAGGTAACACACATCCAGTCTGTGAATTTTGCCCAGACCTGAGATCAATGCTCCTCCTCAGGTAAACATCACATGCACAGCGGTGATTAGTCTTCATAGGTTCCATTATAGTTCCTGTCACTTTGATCACGGTCACATGACGCGTGATCAAGGCACCGTACGGTAAACGAGATGATAACGGTAACAGCTCCAACGCTGACGCCAACTCTGTGAAAACTGGAAATGAGCCATGGCTTCATGCCTTCATGCCTCCATACCTTCATGCCTTCATACCTCCATACCCTCACAAGGAGCAATTATTCTTAGATCCCCTGCAGGCCAAACGAGGTAATTGACCGGATCCTGTGTTTGTGGATCCAGATGTGTCCAGACTTAAATTGAGACAATCACAAACACAAAGTGTTGTTTTTTTCCTCTTTTTTTTTTTAGTTGTCGCAGCGCTATCTCTAACGCTAGACTCAAATCAAGGTCGCACCACCACTGACGACACAGTGATTATTAACCCCACGGCGTGCCGCAGTGGAATTATTAGAATTCCATCATCGACGTAGAACGGAAGCACAATTATTTGTCGGCGACCTTGTTCCAAATAATGAAGCCTCCCGTGTCGTACGGCGACTCGGAGCCTGGAATCACAGGAATCTCTTTGTGAGCAGCAGTGGTTAATATTAACACTGAAAGATTTTTTTTTTTTTTTGTCGTGACCGGTTCTCTATTAACCCTGAGACTCTTACAACCTCTTCTTCCTATTGTCCCGGCACTGATATAGGAGGATGAAACGGAGCGAGGGGGTTAATCGGCCGTAACTCACCCCACCAGCATCAGATGAGCCCACGTCATGCTCTATTAATGGGCAGCTGGAGTCAATGAAGCAAATGAAGCGCCGTAATTGGACGTGAAGCTAGAAGTATATGTTTGTTTGTTTGTTTTTTCATTGGAATCACATTCTTTAAAGCTAGCTTGTTGAGCACTAATGCATGAACTACAGTAGCCCGTCTCTGAAAACTCACCGAGTGGAACATGAGTAACTGCCCGGCAATTACTGAGAAATTAATTTTAACTCTTTCTTGGGAAAAGAAAAGAAAAAAAATAATTTAAGAAAGTGATAGTAACTGTTGCCACATCCAGCGTCAGTTATTTGAAGATCTCTGGATTATCTTTAGAAAACACTTTCATGTTGGAGTGCAGTATTTACCGGCAGACGTTGTTTCACACGTTCTCCGTGTAATTACACAACGGCAATCAGTGAAAATGAACACTTCCAAATCCGTGGAAATACCTCACTAAGACTCTCAGTAAAACACATTCTTTTCCCACTTATTTGCCCCCGAGGAGTTTCGCTCCTCCCAACACTCTTGAAATGAATGGTTTGATGATGGCGCCGCAGATATTCAACGATGAGAGAAAAGGTGTCACTGGTGTAAACGTGCAGCTCTCCTGGATGCTGTTCTGTTTTTTTACATTATTAAACCATAAATCACTTCACAGAGAAGAGTAAAAGCTGCCACACTTGAGCTCCTGTTTACAGATGCAGTAAAAGACGCCACTGAATATTCCAGCTTCCTTCTATCCATCCATCCATCCATTTTCATCCGCTTATCCGTTACCGGGTCGCGGGGGCAGCAATCGCCACCCAAATCACATTGCACCGTACCAAACCTTCCTGCGGGTGGTGAGTCCACTGGAAAGCTTCCTTCTATGTGAAAGAAATTTACAATGAACATTATATATTATTTCATATTTTTCAAGTTGATCGTTAATGTGTAATGAAATGTCAGGGACTCTGGTAATTGAACTGCTGTAGTACTACCGTGTACTACAAGAATATGTATTTTTATATTCAACCTTTTTTCCTGTCTTTTGAAAAGTGAGATTTTAAAGGAGATTTTTTTTGTGTCTGTGCTGCAGGGTATCCTCGCTACACGGTCATTGGCGACCACGGCTCAGGGGAGCATCATCTGCGTATACAGCGCGTGGAGCTGATGGACGACGCCGTGTTCGAGTGCCAGGCTGTCCAGGCGGCCATGAGGTCACGACCTGCCCGTCTCACTGTGCTAGGTGAGTCCAACGTGAAGGGACAATCAGACTCTGGTTTCCATTCACGACGACGACTGTTTGGACGACTCTGACCCTCTGATCATCATCATCATCATCATCATCATCATCATCACGTCTCCCTCCATTTGTCAGCCAGTGTTGGTCTGACATTAGCAGCCTCCATTTTTTTTTTCATTATTCTAAGTTTGCGAGGTTACAGGCTCTTAATTAAACTTTATTGGTGTATCTTTCTGCTCCAGTGGCTAACAAGAGCCGTTCAATTACACCTCGCCTTTGGGCCTTTTGAATTTCCTGCTGCTTCTCGTTGCCTTCGACAACCTTCCTCGACAGGAGAGCGGGCGATAACTGAGTTAGTGCAGAGTAAATGAGGAAAAAAAAAAAAAAAAAAAACGAGAGGGAAGGAAATTCAAGTGAAACGTGTTGGTGCGAGGAGAGAGGTGGATTTGTTTGCAACGCGGCAATCCTCGCCACGCCGACTAATTCACGGTATTGATTTATCCTAATGAAAAGTGAAACTAACAATTTGTACGGGAGAATGCAGCGGCGGAGAGGGGAAAGAACAAATGGCAGCATTTCTCTGGTGAACAAGGTGTGAGGGAGTCGTTATAGAAACCTTCACACAGAGATCAGAAAAAGATCATAAACACTGTTAGCTATGCCACAATTTGGACAGAAATCCTGCCACCTGGAGGTGAAAAATCACCTACGCACAAACTCACACAATCTTAATTCCTACTAAGACTTTTTTTTGCTGTTTTAATTTAAAACATATCCATGTAAGCAGCTTATTTACAAGAAGGGCTCATGATGCTTGTTTTTTTTTGTTTTTTTTTAATCACCTTATTGCTGCACTTTGCTAATTTGGCAAAACCTTGAAGTCACTCCTCAAAATAATTACGGTAAAAGGAGAAACCATTTGCCAGTACTTGAGTTTGGATAGTAGTATCCGGCACTACTCGTTTAAATAAGTAATTAGCAGTTTTTGGAAGAAAACAAAAACAAATTCGAGTGGTGAATCTTTCCACAGTCAGTTGCGAACACATCGCGGTGACTTCTGAAGGTTCCTTAAGGTGGAAACCCAGACCGCCTTAAACAAAAGGCAATGGAGGAAATATATGCAAGGCCTCTGTCACTGCAAACTCCAGGCTGTCAATTACTTGCCAGTGGTGACAGAGTGTGTCTATTGGCTTGGAAGACAGCTCTGGCCCTACAAACGTGTGTGTGTTGGTGTGCGTGCTCACACACACACACACACACACTCACTCACACACACTCACAGCCAGCCTTTTTTCCCCAGGTTGACAGCAGAATAAATCTAAAACTCGCCTCTCCATCTTTCATAAGTCAATATCAACCTGAACTTCTCTGCAGCCATTTCAGACGGGGGTTTTTCTCCCTGTGACTTTTGATTGGCTGAAGGATTACACAACACAAATCTATCCAACACTGCAAGTATAAAAAGTTCTTTTATAAAATAAAAACCCTCTTCCTGATGTCTTTTCTTCAGAGAGTTCCTTTGGTGTGAGTGATTGGTGCCGATTTTCACCCAAGGTCAGAACTGAAGTGAAAAAAACTTTGACAGGTTTCCGTTCAAAACTGTCTGAGAAATATGTATGTTATTCTATAGAAAACATGTTTACTCTAATTTACAAAATTGTTATTTTTTTAAGGCCTGATAAAATAAATCAAAATGGACTCGACGATGAAACATTTAGATAGTTTTATAATATTTCAATTCATATTTTTATATATATCGAAATCACTCGCAATGAAACTAAATGTTAAGTCAACGTTTTTCGTGATGCGACGTTTCGCCCTTCGCGCCGCCGTGAGTCAAGGTCTTTTGAATTACTTATGAAGGAAGAGAATTAGAGGGTTTCAGGTCCAAGAAAATACCCCCGGGGCTAATTATATCCCTGGCAGCAGGCTAGCACCGCACCAGACCTGTGCTCCTATTGGTCCACCTTTAGTTAGAGATCACTGGCTTAAAAGCCTGTGAGGTCTGTGTTTGATGGAGATCTTTGGCTGGAGAAGGAGGAGAGCTTCATCCAGTCGGTCGTCGTCGGTACTTTAAAAAAAAAAAAAAAAAACTGCTGTCATTTATAGACTTGTCACCGCGACACAGAACGCTCCGTCCTTTTATCGGATTTTTTTTTTTTTTTCCTACTGTCTGACTTTAAACCACTCACTTTTCAGCAGTCACTAATTAATGTGTCTTAAAGCTACGTACGTCAGTGGAAACTAATGGTTGAAATCTTCTTTTTTTAAAACTCGCAAAGACTCTGAAAGATGTGTAGCGTGTCTTTAGCTCACGGCAGAGCACGAACCACCGCTCCACGTTTCATAATATTACACAAAATACTTAACAATTTCTCAGACTGCAATGTGAAAAACACACGAATGAGTATATACATATATACACATGTATGTATGTGAATGTATACATCTATATTTACACATACATATATTAATGTGTATATATATGTGAAAGTACATCTATATTTACACATACATATATTAATGTGTGTATATATGTGAATGTACATCTATATTTACACATACATGTAGTTATATGTGTGTATATATGTGCATGTATATATATATTTACAAATACATACATTTATATATGTGCCTATATATGTGAATGTTCATCTATATTTACACATACATATATTAATATAGGTGAATGTACATATATACACATACATATATGAATATATGTGAATGTACATATATATTTACACATACAATTATTAATATATGTGTGTATATATGTGAATGTACATATATTGACACATACATATATTTAAATATGTATGTATGTAAATATAGATGTACATTCACATATATTGACACACATATATATATATTTATATATGTGTGTATATATGTTGTGTGTATATGTGTACATATATAAAGCTTTATATATGTGTGTATATATGTTGTGTATGTGTACATATATAAAGGTATTTCTCATTGAATTACGCTCATATTTGACCTAATTTTATCCCACCGTTTCCCTGGGTCACTCAGGTGTGTCATTAGACTCACTGTTCTCCAGATGCAGCTGCAGGATGCGAGGGTGAACCACTCAACGCTCCTTTGATCATAACAGGCACTCTTGGCTCTGGCTTTGTGCTGGCTGCTGTGTCACTTAAAAGGCTCTTTGTGTACAAGATATCTCCATTGTTACAACACTGTCAATGGTTTTTTTGGACCCTCCCTTCAAGATGAACACTATTCATATATACACACACTAGAGCCCAAGGGCGTTCTTTGTTAATGTCGTTCCAAGTGGCAGCGCTGAATCAGCCCGTTCTGTGGAGAACTCGGAATTCATTATTTCTCAAGGATCCAGCGTCTATCGCTCTGGTAATGAAAGTGAACTTTGGGGGCAGGGTTTACAAAATAAGATAACACTGTTGCTAATTCAAGACCGGAGGGAATTACTCGCAAATAATTGGGTTTTTTTATTCGCGAGACACATAGGTTGCAATAGTTGGGCAGGAATTTCTCAACAAATGCCGCCGCTGAACTTTTCTGTTCCCTGGCCCGGGTAAAAAAAAACAAAAAACTTTTTTGTTGATATGGTGTTTACTTGTCAATATGTCTATTGATGGGCAGGACATGAAAATCTAAGTACTAAATCTAAAATCTAGTTTTAAGGAGCTCCTATGACTAAGGCGTGATTTTCTCTGTCGTTTTCCCTCAAACATGAGAAGTAACGATAACAATCCCTTCGATATCATCAAACGTGTCAACAGCTGCGTGATTATTTCAGACAGACTGTTCGCTGCCTTCGCCTCGGCGTTGCTGCAGCAGAAGGGAGGACGGATAATACCGATGCATCTGTGCTCCACGACACAACACGACACAACACAACACGACACAACAGCACCAACTGTGCTCAGGTGTGGAATCATCCTCACTCTGCAGACGGGGTTCAGTTTTACCACGGCGTCACAAAGGCAGGATTGGCATCCAGAAAAATCCGGAACAGCAGACGTTTTAGTCATTCGGTTTAATCAAAGTGATTAACGTTGGAAGAGATGAAGGAGGGGGGGTCTGGAATCGACCGGTATACGCTGGGGGG